AATTTTTACGCACACACATGAAAAACCGTTAGCCATAAGTTTTCGAACAAGGCAGATGCAAGCTAAAAAAGGAAAGAGAAAGAGAGAGAGAGAGAGGAGAGAGAGAGGGGAGAGAGAGGGGAGAGAGAGAGGAGAGAGAGGAGAGAGAGAGAGAGAGGTAAAAAAGTTGCTCTACTTGAACGTGCATTTGAAAAGATAATGGTGATTAATGGTTATGACGGTCATGATGAAGATGATAATCGTATCCTTGCATACATACTAATACCTCATGTTAATATCTCAAACGTGTGCCATTTAAAAATACCAGTAAAAATATTGTATAAAGCATGCATAATATGGTTTATAGGATTGTATGAATGTCTGTAAAGAGTGCATGTGTCTTATGAATTAGCTTTATGTATCAGTGAATGCTTTTACGAAGTTTTAAACGTTTTATCAAAATGAAATTACAACACACAAACAACCACACAAACAACCACACAAACAGCCACACTAAGAAAAAAACAAACAAAAAAAATATGCCAATGGAACAATGGAACATTTGAAGACATGAACAATTAATGTTGACAAATAAAATCATAACACACAATCTGAACATCTGTCACAACTGCTACAGCAAAAGCAATTAAATAACAATTAAAATAATTGAAAAGTCCAAAAAAATTAACAAATATACCAACTTAACAATCAATAATGGAAAAGACATTTTGAATATTGTTGCAACAAAAAACACCAGAACATGTAACCTGCACGACGACAACATTAACAAGTTTAGTTGTTAAAACAACATCAAAACCTTTAAAAAACATTCAACAGTTCCGAGTAAATTTGTATAACATCAACTGAACTAAACCCACAAAAATCAACAGTTGATTATGTTTGTAGAAAAATAATTGTCCTCAAGAGTTGAAACAATTTATAAATCAATATAAATTACTACAGCAACACAACAACACTCCAACATACCTGCATAACACACACAACAGCATAACATCACTACTGCTCAACAGCACAACAATAACACAACAACACAATAACAATATGCAGTCGTAACAGGGCCCGTTATGCATTTTGTGCGAGATTGGTATATAGGGTCAGGTTATTCTATTTGAATGTTTGTTTGTATGTGTGTATATTTGTTTGTGTGTGCGTGTGTGTGATATGGTGTGGTGGTATGTGTGTGTGTATTTTTATGTGTATGAGAGAGAGAGAGAGAGATAGAGAGAGGAGAGAGAGAGAGAGAAAGTAGTATAAGAGAAAATGTGTCTGAGAGTGAAAGAAGAGGGGAGAGAGTATTTACATACTGTGTAAAAGATAGTAATTGTGGCTACTTTTTTACATACTGTGTAAAAGATAGTAATTGTGGCTACTTTTTTACATACTGTGTAAAAGATAGTAATTGTGGCTACTTTTTTACATACTGTGTAAAAGATAGTAATTGTGGCTACTTTTTTACATACTGTGTAAAAGATAGTAATTGTGGCTACTTTTTTACATACTGTGTAAAAGATAGTAATTGTGGCTACTTTTTTACATACTGTGTAAAAGATAGTAATTGTGGCTACTTTTTTACATACTGTGTAAAAGATAGTAATTGTGGCTACTTTTTTACATACTGTGTAAAAGATAGTAATTGTGGCTACTTTTTTACATACTGTGTAAAAGATAGTAATTGTGGCTACTTTTTTACATACTGTGTAAAAGATAGTAATTGTGGCTACTTTTTTACATACTGTGTAAAAGATAGTAATTGTGGCTACTTTTTTACATACTGTGTAAAAGATAGTAATTGTGGCTACTTTTTTACATACTGTGTAAAAGATAGTAATTGTGGCTACTTTTTTACATACTGTGTAAAAGATAGTAATTGTGGCTACTTTTTTACATACAGTGTAAAAGATAGTAATTGTGGCTACTTTTTTACATACTGTGTAAAAGATAGTAATTGTGGCTACTTTTTTACATACTGTGTAAAAGATAGTAATTGTGGCTACTTTTTTACATACTGTGTATAAAATAGTAATTGTGGCTACTTTTTTTACATACTGTGTAAAAGATAGTAATTGTGGCTACTTTTTTACATACTGTGTAAAAGATAGTAATTGTGGCTACTTTTTTACATAGTGTGTAAAAGATAGTAATTGTGGCTACTTTTTTTACAAGTAAAAAACTTAAGAGCCCCACTTCTGCTAATTGCAATTGCATTTGGAATATTAAACTTCTAAGTAAGAGCGTGCAAGCAATCAGGGAATCTTTGAAATGTGACTTTGGCGAAAATTGTGATTAATTTTATGCATATATATATATTAGTCACGAACATTATGGAAAAAATTTTCAATGTCCCATGAGCTCTTTCGATGGTTATTTCAAACGCATTTTTTATATTATAAATTTGATAATATTTTTACATATTTAAAAGCCGTTCTCATGATTAGACATCTCAGATGGCTTGGTCGTGCTACGTATTAATTACTAAGGACCTTTTGCACGGTGAACTAGCTGAGAGGCAATGAACCACAGGGCGCTCAAAGTTTTGTTTCCAAAATATTTGCAAAAAGATATAAAGCAATCCTTCACTGATCTCTACTCATTGGCGAGTTTGCTAGACGTCCTAAAGAATGGCAGTCAAACGAGGCTTCAAGAGTGTGAAAACCGAACAAAACTTGAAAGCTGCTCAAAAAAGAAAAAGGAAGAAAGCAGTAGCAAGGTCAAGAACCAACCAACCATCCGCCTCTGCCTGGTCCAGGTGTGGAAGTGATTGCTAGTCTGGGATTGGCCTGTTTAGCCATTCTCAGCGGTGCAGATTGCGGCAGCCACACTATCGTCTTCCGAGAAGAAAAGATGCCGACGACAACGACGAGAAGATGTAGTAATAGCATTACTAGTAATAGTAGTAATATTATTATTATTATTATTATTATTACTATTACTATTAGTAGTATTAGTAGTAGCAGTGGTAGTGTAGTAATGTCATTATTAGTAATAATATAACTATAATTATTCTTATCATTATTATCTTATTACAATCATCATCAATTTAAACGTCCTAAGCCAGGTAATCGCAATTTCATACATCGGTTGTCATCATCATCGTGATTCTCACCATCAACTAAATTTCAAACATCATCATCATCATCATCTTCTTCTTCTTCTTCGTCATCATCATCATCTAAATTTCAAACATCATCATCATCGTCGTCGTCATCATCGCGCGCCAACCACAAACCCAATAAATATAATTCGAAATAGAAAAATTTAATTAAATTTTTGTTCCACTTTTCAACAAAAAGCGACAAATGCGCCGTCACAAATTGCAAAACTAAAAATAAAAAAAGTAAAAACAACAATAGGCAGTATTAGTAGTAGTAGTTGTTGTAGTAGTAGTAGTGATAGTAGTAGCAGCAGTGGTAGTAGTAGTGGCGGTAGAAGTAGTAGTGGTTGCAGCAGCAGCAATAATAGAAGTAATATTAGCAATTGTAGAATTAGTAGTAGTAGCAGTAGCAGTAGTAGTAGTAGTAGTAGTAGTAGTAGTAGTAGTAGTAGTAGTAGTAGTAGTAGTAGTAGTAGTAGTAGTAGTATTTGTTGATGTTGTAGTAGTAGTAGTTGTAGCAATTATTAGTTATTGTTATTGTTGAAATGCTTGAAAATGAAAAAACATTTTATTTTGCAGGAAAGTACAAAGAAATGTTAAATATATATGCTGAGTATAATAATAGTAGTAGTAATACAATAATAAATACAATAATAATAATAATAATAAAAATATTTAAAATAATATTAACAACGAAAGCTTTAATGTCAATAGTCAAACCACGACAAATGGTGGCAAATAAACTTAATGACAATCGATATAACATTTCATTAATTTAAAATTTTAATTCCATTTATAAATTGATGAATGATTTTTCTCCGTTGAAATGTTACAATAAAATTTATTTTATCGAAAATAAAAATAATTTCTAAACAATAACATAACTATAATTTTATATTTATTCCATGATTATATTTACTTAATTGTCATTATTTTTTATCTCATTCGTCTCGTTACTTATTAATTATTTATTAGTTAATTAGTTAATTCATTTATTTATGTGTGTGTGTGTGTGTGTGTGTCTGCATACAAGTGTACGTATAAATGTTTATATATATATATATATATATATATATATATATATATATATATACAAATATTTATAAAGATC